TATTCATACACCTAACAGAAATCTTTCTTTTAGAGAACGCAATTGAAGAAAAAATAATAATAAACTTTCCTGTGGTCTTGGATGGTGTACAATGACGTCATTGACCCCCGGTCTAGCACATGCTTCTCCACACCGAAATGGACACAGGCTCGACGTCACGGCTTCGCGGGGTTTATCAATAATGCAACACAAAGCAGCCGATATGAAATAAATCTACTGCCTCATCAAATGATCGCAGTACAAGCGGGGTCTCAGGATATAATTCTTTGATTTCGCTTGGGTCGGTAAGGTAAATCAGTGGCAGATATAGTCATTCATCACGAATATGTTTTCCTGAGACGGGCCGGTTTCAGCGCTAATTGTTTCTGAAGAACGCCGGCGAGGTGGCTGTCACGTTATCCCCCCTCGAACGCACCCAATACACCCGGCGGCGATCGCAATGCGCATGTGCAGACAAACCAAATCGTCATAAAATTACCTGCGTATGAAATAAATATGAAATATGACACTGTGTGCAGGCAACATGGCTATGATAGTTAATGAGTTAGTGGCGTTGCGCTGTTTGGAACTATCCTCCGAAGCAGATTTTTTTCTTCACCTGATTACTTTTAGATGGGTGCGTGTCGGGGTCGACAAGATACTATTCAGGTCTTACTGCGTGAACTTTACAACGTGACGGCCATTGTCTGAAAGATCGGGTACACTCAAAGAGTCATTTTTTTAATAATGTTTTTTGAAAGTTGATGGAGAGGCGTTTCCAATGAAACTAAATCATATGTTTAATAAGTCATGTAGTTTATAATGTAGAGGGTTTGTCTGGTCCAGATTCGATTACTTACAGGTCGTCGCGATGTCACGGGAATATTGCTGACTATATAAAGCGAAATACGTGAATGTTTTTACATTGAATATAACGTTTTAAGTTGCCATTGATTACTTTTTAACGAGTGTTTCAAAGCTCAGAGTGAAGAATGCGGCTGCACCTGTGTTATACAGACCCTGTAGAAACCGGTAACTTTGAACATATGAATGAGTGAGGCATGAAGATTCGTGCTTTATACACTAAGACGCCTAGTGTAGTGAGGTGGGTTTAACGTCGCGCTCACTCGCTCACTCACTCCTCTATCGGTCTCGTTTCTTAAACCACAGACTACACCCATTCCTCTATTCTTCTCTGCCGGTCTCGTTGTTTCTTTCTTAAACCAGAGACCTCACCCATTCCTCTATACCTCTCTGCCGGTCTCGTTGTTTCTTTCTTAAACCAGAGACCATACCCATTCCTCTATACCTATCTACCGGTCTCGTTGTTTTTTCCTTAAACCAGAGGCCATACCCATTCCTCTATACCTATCTACCGGTCTCGTTATTTCTTTCTTAAACCAGAGACCATACCAATTCCTCTATACCTCTCTACCGGTCTCGTTGTTTCTTTCTTAAACCAGAGACCATAGCAATTCCTCTATACTTCTCTACCGGTCTCGTTGTTTCTTTCTTAAACCAGAGGCCATACCAATTCCTCTATACCTCTCTGCCGGTCTCGTTGTTTCTTCCTTAAACCAGAGACCATACCAATTCCTATATACCTCTCTACCGGTCTCGTTGTTTCTTTCTTAAACCAGAGACCATACCCATTCCTCTATACTTCTCTACCGGTCTCGTTGTTTCTTCCTCAAACCAGAGACCATACCAATTCCTCTATACCTCTCTACCGGTCTCGTTGTTTCTTTCTTAAACCAGAGACCATACCAATTCCTCAATACTTCTCTACCGGTCTCGTTGTTTCTTTCTTAAACCAGAGACCATACCAATTCCTCAATACTTCTCTACCGGTCTCGTTGTTTCTTCCTTAAACCAGAGACCATACCAATTCCTCTATACCTCTCTACCGGTCTCGTTGATTCTTTCTTAAACCAGAGACCATACCCATTCCTCTCTGCCGGTCTCGTTGATTCTTTCTTAAACCAGAGACCATACCCATTCCTCTATACCTCTCTAACGGTCTCGTTGTTTCTTTCTTAAACCAGAGACCATACCCATTCCTCTATACCTCTCTAACGGTCTCGTTGTTTCTTTCTTAAACCAGAGGCCATACCAATTCCTCTATATCTCTCTACCGGTCTCGTTGTTTCTTTCTTAAACCAGAGGCCATACCAATTCCTCTATACCTCTCTGCCGGTCTCGTTGTTTCTTTCTTAAACCAGAGACCATACCCATTCCTCTATACCTCTCTAACGGTCTCGTTGTTTCTTTCTTAAACCAGAGGCCATACCAATTCCTCTATATCTCTCTACCGGCCTCGTTGTTTCTTTCTTAAACCAGAGGCCATACCAATTCCTCTATACCTCTCTGCCGGTCTCGTTGTTTCTTTCTTTAACCAGAGACCATACCAATTCCTTTATACCTCTCTAACGGTCTCGTTGTTTCTTTCTTAACCACAGATCATTCTAATTCCTCTATACTTCTCTACCGGTCTCGTTGTTTCTTACCCCCTCTAGAGACCACACCCATTCCTCTATACTTCTCTACCGGTCTCGTTGTTTCCTACCCCTTCTAGAGACCACACCCATTCCTCTATACTTCTCTACCGGTCTCGTTGTTTCCTACCCCCTTTAGAGACCACACCCATCCCTCTATACTTCTCTACCGGTCTCGTTGTTTCTTACCCTTTCTAGAGACCACACCCATTCCTCTATACTTCTCTACCGGCCTCGTTGTTTCCTACCCCCTCTAGAGACCACACCCATTCCTCTATACTTCTCCACCGGTCTCGTTGTTTCCTACCCCCTCTAGAGACCACACCAATTCCTCTATACTTCTCTACCGGCCTCGTTGTTTCTTACCCTTTCTAGAGACCACACCCATTCCTCTATACTTCTCTACCGGCCTCGTTGTTTCTTACCCTTTCTAGAGACCACACCCATTCCTCTATACTTCTCTACCGGCCTCGTTTTTTCTTACCCTTTCTAGAGACCACACCCATTCCTCTATACTTCTCCACCGGTCTCGTTGTTTCCTACCCCCTCTAGAGACCACACCCATTCCTCTATACTTCTCTACAGGTCTCGTTGTTTCTTACCTCCTCTAGAGACCACACCCATTCCTCTATACTTCTCCACCGGTCTCGTTGTTTCTTACCCCCTCTAGAGACCACACCCATTCCTCTATACTTCTCCACCGGTCTCGTTGTTTCCTTCCCCCCTCTAGAGACCACACCCATTCCTCTATACTTCTCCACCGGTCTCGTTGTTTCTTACCCCCTCTAGAGACCACACCCATTCCTCTATACTTCTCTACCGGTCTCGTTGTTTCTTACCCTTTCTAGAGACCACACCCATTCCTCTATACTTCTCTACCGGTCTCGTTCTTTCTTACCCCCTGTAGAGACCACACCCATTCCTCTATACTTCTCCACCGGTCTCGTTGTTTCTTACCTCCTGTAGAGACCACACCCATTCCTCTATACTTCTCCACCGGTCTCGTTGTTTCTTACCCCCTGTAGAGACCACACCCATTCCTCGATACTTCTCTACCGGTCTCGTTGTTTCTTACCCCCTCTAGAGACCACACCCATTCCTCTATACTTCTCTACCGACCTTGTTGTTTCTTACCCCCTCTAGAGACCACACCCATTCCTCGATACTTCTCCACCGGTCTCTTGTTTTTTCTCACCTCCTGTAGAGACCACACCCATTCCTCGATACTTCTCTACCGGTCTCGTTGTTTCTTACCCCCTCTAGAGACCACACCCATTCCTCTATACTTCTCTACCGACCTTGTTGTTTCTTACCCCCTCTAGAGACCATTCCCATTCCTCTATACTTCTCCACCGGTCTCGTTGTTTCTTACCTCCTCTAGAGACCACACCCATTCCTCTATACTTCTCCACCGGTCTCGTTGTTTCGTACCCCCTCTAGAGACCACACCCATTCCTCTATACTTCTCCATCGGTCTCGTTGTTTCGTACCCCCTCTAGAGACCACACCCATTCCTCTATACTTCTCCACCGGTCTCGTTGTTTCGTACCCCCTCTAGAGACCACACCCATTCCTCTATACTTCTCCACCGGCCTCGTTGTTTCTTACCTCCTGTAGAGACCACACCCATTCCTCTATACTTCTCTACCGGTCTCGTTGTTTCTTACCCCCTCTAGAGACCACACCCATTCCTCTATACTTCTCTACCGACCTTGTTGTTTCTTACCTCCTGTAGAGACCACACCCATTCCTCTATACTTCTCCACCGGTCTCGTTGTTTCTTACCCCCTGTAGAGACCACACCCATTCCTCTATACTTCTCCACCGGTCTCGTTGTTTCTTACCCCCTCTAGAGACCACACCCATTCCTCTATACTTCTCCACCGACCTTGTTGTTTCTTACCCCCTCTAGAGACCACACCCATTCCTCTATACTTCTCTACCGGTCTCGTTGTTTCTTACCCCCTCTAGAGACCACACCCATTCCTCTATACTTCTCCACCGGTCTCGTTGTTTCTTACCCCCTCTAGAGACCACACCCATTCCTCTATACTTCTCCACCGACCTTGTTGTTTCTTACCCCCTCTAGAGACCACACCCATTCCTCTATACTTCTCCACCGACCTTGTTGTTTCTTACCCCCTCTAGAGACCACACCCATTCCTCTATACTTCTCTACCGACCTTGTTGTTTCTTACCCCCTCTAGAGACCACACCCATTCCTCTATACTTCTCCACCGGCCTCGTTGTTTCTTACCTCCTGTAGAGACCACACCCATTCCTCTATACTTCTCTACCGGTCTCGTTGTTTCTTACCCCCTCTAGAGACCACACCCATTCCTCTATACTTCTCTACCGACCTTGTTGTTTCTTACCTCCTGTAGAGACCACACCCATTCCTCTATACTTCTCCACCGGTCTCGTTGTTTCTTACCCCCTCTAGAGACCACACCCATTCCTCTATACTTCTCTACCGGTCTCGTTGTTTCTTACCCCCTCTAGAGACCACACCCATTCCTCTATACT